TCAGCTACATTGAGCCCGGAGATGAGCTGAACCCGATTGACCCAGATAATTTTGATTTTGTGGGTCCCTCTTCCACCGCCGGAAGGTTTCCAACGCGCCGGTCCAAGCGCACGAACCCTTTTCCAGATCTGAACACTGCAGTTCCACAACGCCGAAGAGGAGAACACTCTCCCCGAAGAGGAAGCAGAGGTGGAAGAAGAGGAGGCAGAGGTGGCCGCACTCCAGTTCAGTCAAATCCACGAAGAGGTCTTCATCTGGTAGATGAAGAAACTGATGATGAAGCAGGGGATCCTACCTTTGCTGCACCACAGGCTCAAGCCGTGTCCTCCAGCTCCTCCGAGTCATCATCCAACAACTCACCTTCTCCAGCATCAACTCAGGGGGAGACGTCACAGCCCAGCATGGCAACAGCAGCCTCTCAACATTCTGTTCCAGAAGATGCTGCTGCACCTGTTTCTGAAGGTGTTGCTGCACATGCTCCAGAAGATGCTGCTGCACCTGTTTCTGAAGGTGTTGCTGCACATGCTCCAGAAGATGATGCTGCACCTACTGTTTCAGCAAATGCTCCTCAGAATGCTGCTGAGGATGCTGGCCCTTATCAAGATGAAGAAATGCCTGATTTTTCTGGAATGTCATCAGCAGAGCATGTAGACATTCCATCTGTGGATGCTCAAGATTTCACCACTACCGAAGAAACTCCATCAGCACCTCATGGAGATCCTCTGGAAACCCTGGCAGAAGCAGCAGTTCAAGCAGATGCAATTCCTCCTCAAACTGAAGAACCAGAGAACAGTGATGACAGTTGGGAGGTTCCTCTAGCTGCTTTTCGCAAAAATTTGCCCTCCTCTGATTCTGACAGTGAATCCTCTGAAGACTCTTCTCAGCAGGAAGAAGGTGTTGCCCCACTTGCTGCATCACCTGAACCAGCATATGTCCCTGATGAGCTTGAAGATTCAGAAGATGATGATTCCTCAGAAGAAGAAGAACCAGACTTGGATGGGAAGAATTTGTCAACTCCTTTTGAGGTAACCAATGCCTTCAGTCCTCATTTTTATTTTGAATCTGATTCACTGTTGAGTCCTCAAGTTATGAATTGTCAATTCATTGAGGAAAAGAAAATTTCTAAGGAAGAATTTGATAGGCATAGGATAACTGCTTTTCTTCACCAAAGAAAAATCCTTAACCTAGTTGAGATTGCCTGCTCTTATGATCCCTTGGTTGTGAAGGAATTTTATGCTAATTTGCAAACCTCCTTTTTAAAGAAAAACTCTCCAAACTTTGGCACAGTTTTTGTGCGCAATGCAATTTTTTCTTTTTCTCCCAAAATTATCAACTCTCATTTACAAACTCCAACTGTGATTGATGAGGATAATTATGGTGATTTTACTGAGATTTGCAAAGTTATTTCTGGAAACCGTTTAAGAAGTTGGCCTGCACACCCAAGAAAATTTCAAGTCTCTCAACTCACTGCCTTTTACTCTGTCTTATTTAGACTCACAGTGATGAATTGGATTCCATCCAAAAATGTCTCTGTGGTAACTAAACCTCATGCTGTACTCATGTACAAATTGGGGATGGGATTACCAGTGGATTTTGGTAAACTGTTCTTTGATACTATTGGTCATCTTGCCCAGAAAATTTCACCCTCCACTCATCTTCCCTATCCCTCTCTCATCTACTCCATTTTACTCTCTCAAAATTTGGGCCAAGATGACTCAGAATATCTTCACACTCCACAAGGCATGATCACCGTTTCTCAAAATTTTCTGAGAGCTCCTCATGTTCAAGATCTTCCTTGGAATGGAGATAATTTTCTCTCATCTGAATCAGGTCAAAATAACATTGGTACTGAGGGTGTTGCACCTCATGTTGACAACACTTCTAACCTTCTTGTGTCTGTTCCTAGAGATCTTCTATTGCAGCAGCTTACTCATTCTCTAGCTCAGATTACCTATCATCAGTCCATGGTGGAGATGATTCAGAAGGCTCTTTCTGATCAAAAAGGGGGAGAAAAAGATCATGAAACTGAAGCAGGAACATCTCATCCTTTGGATGCTCGAGGCAGAGAGCAAGGAGTCAATGAAGAGGAAGCAAAGAAAGAGGGGGAAGCTCAAGAAGAAAGCAGTGGATCTAGTGATGGAGGAGGAGCAGCAGCTGATACTGAGGAGACATTGGAGACTCTGAATATTTTACTTTAGATTGTTTTCATGAACAATATTTTTTGTTTGTGTTTTGTTTATTTTCCCTCTGAACTTTTGTTTAGGACTGCACTTTGGTTATTTCTTTTTGTTGGACTATCTTGCTGAATTTGGTTTTAATTTATTGTTTCTATGTTTTTTCAAATGGTATCAAATTCAGGGGGAGTTCAAGCAATATCTCAGGGGGAGTCTTTGACTACGATTTAGTTTTGATCAGAAAGTTAAAAAGGGGGAGTTTGAAACACGTGAATTAATTTCACAATGTGTTTTTAACTTTTCTTAAACTCTAAACTAAATCTTAGTTAGTGGGTTAAGTAGGGTTAAGTAGTGCTTAGTGGATTTAATTATGGAATTTATCTTAACTTCCTAACTAACCCACTAACCCATTATCTTGAGTGCTCTTGTGGTTGGTTTTCTTGCAGATCATGGGCTGAGGAGTGGAAGCTTGGCAAGTCTATAAATACCAAACTCAAGACTCAAGATTTGTGCAGATTTCGAGGAAACAAAATAGAGTTGAAGTTTTAATCTTGAGAATTTTAGTGTGTTTTCTAGGATCTGTTGTATGTACTCTTTATGAGTACATTATTTGAAATCTAGAATTTTTAATATTTTTCTTTTAGTATCAAGATTTGATTGTAAGAGTGATCTTGAAAAAGATTCATTCATAAGGAAGAAGTTTTCGTACTCTTCTGTTTGTATTCTTGGAATACTGATTTTAATATATTTTTCCGTCCTGTAAAGGGCAAGTTCACAAGTCTTTACTTGTGAACATTTTTAATTCTGAACAGTGTCTTTTAATCTTTATATTTCCGCTGCATGTTGTCTCAAGTGTCATAACATTTCAGATAACATCTCTGTATAATACGAATTCGGGACCATAAATTTTTTCAAACCTTACAAGTAGAAAATTAAAGATAATTCCTCCTTTTCCGAAAGAAGGAGGAGCATATGCGCGGCATGATACGGATCGTTTTATATACGGGTTGGGGTACGATGAGTCGACCGACGATCACAAGGTTGGGGTAAGATATGGACACTTTCGGATTTTGATGATCCAATGAACCGTATTAGAGGTGCAATGCCGTTGTGTTTGAGGAATAATGGAGATATTGCAGTGGCTTTTGGATCGAGTATAGTTGTTTATAATGGAAAAAATAAGTTGCGTGAGATTCGAGGTGCTATAGTTAATGATATAATCGAGTCCCTTGTTTATGTTGAAAGCTTAGTTTTGCCATTCGGCGACGAAGAACTTGGTCATTAATGATGATCGAATTATCTAGGGCAAGGAGTAGTTTTAGTAAGATTATTTTGCACTTTTTTAGATGGTGAATGATATACTTTTTCTTTTCACCTTTGTTTTTAAGTGGTATTATACTTGATCTTTTCTTGATGTTTTCGACATGCAATTTTCTGGGTTTTGGATTTTCGGGTTTTGGGTTTTGGGTTTCAACTAGTGTAATTTAGAAGCTTTTTTTTTGGTTTTTTTTCTTTTTTCTTTTTATTATCTAATTAACTTTTATACTATTACAGGAATTTTCAATTTCAAGAGGCAAATGGATTATGAGATGGCCGTATAATGCAAGTTAATACCCGCACCCGTTTTACTTAAACGGAGCGGGATTACGGGTTCTGAAAGATATATGAAACAACGAATCTTCTTCATACTTGTTGTCGAATATTTTCATTACCATTATCAGCCTTAATCTCTTGATCCTGCATTCATTTCCTAATAGTGATTCTGTTTAGTAATTAGAAATATGATAATAAACTTATGAAAATCAGCAGTGAACTTCTAAAAATTTGAAGTTAGATAGGACGAATTTGGCAGCTAACTTTCGAAATAATGAGAACGGGACCTTCGAAACTTGGGATGGAATTTTTAAAATTGGTAGCGAACTTTTGGAAATCGATTGTTTCAAAAAACAGAATTTATGTGAATTTCTTAAAAATAGAGAGTAAACTTTTGTAAACCGTTAGTGAACTTATGTGAACGATCGGAAAACTGACAGCAAAGTTCGACAGTAAACACTATAGCTCAGTGAGCACTCGCATTGGTCCCTATAATTTTAGCTAACAAAAGTACAGGGGTATTTTTGTAAAAGAACGGGCAAACTTTTATCGGGACCATAATATTAATTATATTTATTACTAATGAAATTGGTAATATCCTCAAAAATAAAAATAAAACTTACATCCGATAAACGAAGGTTTATGATATCTCTACCTCAGGCGAAACACACCATTTGATTTTAAATTGTATATCTACATAAATAACTACTAAACACACATACATACAGGATTTACCGGGTAATCTCCGCCACGTTTGCTAATGGAGCAAGTTTAGGTGGTTTAATGCTATTTACCCTTTTTTTTATTATGTTTACATTTGTTGAACGGTCAACATAGTAATATTACTTTATTACACAATAATAATGAGTTTTGTTGTGTTAATATTAATGTGCTAGAGATTAATATAGCAATATTACTGTGTTAAACTATAATTCAGTTAATTTTATTGTGTTTAACAGTAATTTCGTTAATATTACTGTCAATCACAGCAATATTGCTGTTTAAACGGAAAAAGAAAGTTACTAATCTTTAAAGATATTTTAATTAAATAAAATTATTAATATTAAAAAAACAAAAAAATTCTTACGGCAGCTGTTATATGGGGCCGAGCCGGGCCTGTTTAATAAAATCAAAATTAAATGTTTGTTACCGATGCTTATCCTAAATCTAGGTCATCTAGGTTAAATTCAAAGCGGCGAAGAAGAAGAAGAAATAAGAAAAGAAACACAGAAAATGGGAACAGAAATCGAACGACGAATCTCGCGCCATCTTCCGGAAGAAATAATCGAAGAAATATTACACAGGTTGCCATCCAAATCCCTTTTGAGATTCAAGTGCGTTTCGAAACAATGGCGTTCTTTCATCTCCAGCAAACAATTCATCAAACGCCACCTCAATAAATCGAACATCGATACAGATCTCGCAAATCGAAGGCTAGTGTCGAGCTTCCGTCGATCCCCGGACATCGTCGGATTCATGTCTTTATTCCGCGGTCCGAACACCACACTCGACCCGCGTTATCTCCGGTCGTTACTCAACGATGACATCATCGCAACTCTCGACAGCGAGCATTCTTGCATGGGAGATTCGACGCACGAGGTTCGTATCGTGGGATCATGCAACGGGCTAGTACTCATCACCATCGAGAATGATCACAATTTATATCTATGGAACCCTTGTACTAGAGAGATCAAGAAAATTCGTTACCCGCGTTTAGCTTTCAAAAAAGTATACGGTTTGGGGTACGACGAGTGCGCAGACGATTACAAGGTCGTCTGCATTTTCTTCACCACTCGGAGGACGTCCTCTCAGACGGAGGTTTATAGTTTGAAGGCCGATTCTTGGAAGAAAATCGAGCATTTCGACAAGGGTTCTAATTATCCCCCGATGTGCAAATCGGGCATGCTTGTGAATGGAAGATTGCATTGGCTTATGGGAAACGATGACGACGATCTTGTTATTATTTCTCTTGATTTAGTGGGGGAGAAATATGAAATTGTGGCTGGGCCGGAAAACGTTACGGAAAATATTTGTTTTGGATCGGTTCTGAATAATTTGGGAGGATACCTATGTTTAATTACTACTTCTAGTGTTACAGGTCATCAAAGTGTTTGGGTTATGATCGAGTACGGTCAGACGGAATCTTGGACTAAGATTTGGACATGTTCGAATTCTGATGATTCAATGAAGATGTGGCCTTTGAAGAAACACGGAATTTATAATGGAAAAAATGTGTGGTGTAAAAATATGGGGTGTGTACGCAGAGTTTATATGGTTGATGCTACAACTGAGCCCATTTGCTATGTTGAAAGCTTAGTTTCACCATTTGGCGACAAACAGCTTCGCCGATGATCGTCACTTCTTGTTTTTTAAAAAAGGATAGTTATTGGTTCATCAATTCTTCTTCTGGTGTCACGAATCCATGACCAAATAGGTCTTAGCTGCAAGGAACTTTGCGCGCCTATACGATCTTTGTATGGAAAGGAATTGGTTTCGGTCTAGAAATTTTTTTTTTTTCCTTTTTTTTTTAATGTTTTCAATGGTATCAATTCCTCTTTTTGTATTGTCAAGAAATTGATAGTCCATAAGAAGATATTTATACTTTTATCTTTTCCACTCATGTTTTAGATATTGGTTGAGTAGTTTTGGAAGTATGTGTTATTGAGTGTTCATTAATTACTTTATTTATCATTCATGTTGCCTTAGGTTCAAAGTGTTAAATTATTAAAGGGCAAATTACCAAAACCCCCTGAGGTAAGCCTAAATAACGAAAATCCCCCCCATGTTCTCGTAATTACGAAAACCCCCCTTGACTAACGGTTGACCGAATTTGTTTAACCGAAAACGTGAAATGTCTATTATATCCTTCTGTTAAATATGTAAAAAATAAAGGGCAAATTATCAAAACCCCCCTGAGGTAAGCCTAAATAACGAAAATCCCCCCTGACATCCCTTTCAGTTGATGATTTATTGCTTTTATAAATTTATTTATTACTTTGTAATTTGTATTGATAATTTGATATTATAATTTTTTATTTTTTTTATTTATATATTTTAATTGATTTTATTTATCCAGAGGAGTATTCATACGGATTTATGCTTTTAGCTTGAATGATGCATGGTTGTATTTCTCGAATTGTAAAATATTTAATTTTATATATAAAAAATAATTAAATTTTGAAATCTCATTCATTGATTTTTTTTAATCCAATAAAAATACATTGTACATTGATAATGATTGATTATATTTGGGTTTAATTTAAGAAAAATAAGTATTTTGCAGACACTTATATATTTTTTTATTTATATATTTTAATTGATTTTATTTATCCAGAGGAGTATTCATACGGATTTATGCTTTTAGCTTGAATGATGCATGGTTGTATTTCTCGAATTGTAAAATATTTAATTTTATATATAAAAAATAATTAAATTTTGAAATCTCATTCATTGATTTTTTTTAATCCAATAAAAATACATTGTACATTCATAATGATTGATTATATTTGGGTTTAATTTAAGAAAAATAAGTATTTTGTACATTCATAATGACCCCTCATTAAATAAAATGCTTACAATTACCCCCCTAAGGTTAATTTCGTGTACAAGGGCAAAATTGGTATTATCGGAGGAATATTCGGGAGAATCAAAAAGATTCTATCGAGTCTAACACCGTTAGAGCGATTTGTAAGACGTCTGCATACCTCAGGGGGGTTTTCGTAATTACGCGAACATGGGGGGGATTTTTGTTATTTAGGCTTACCTCAGGGGGGTTTTGGTAATTTGCCCAATTATTAAAACACGAAGGATCAAATGTATTTTTTTTGTGAACATGGGAGACCAAATGTAGAATCAGTGCAAGGTGGAATTACTAAAAAAATCCTTTCATGTTTGGGTAATTACAATCACCCCTCAACTATGAATTTTCTTACACGTTCATCGTTGTGGTGTCAAATTTAGTGGAATCTTCTAGAGTATGAGGAATATAATTATTCACTTTATACCCGTTTTACCCTATTTGACCTCCATATTTTGAAACAAGATGTTCATAAGATTAGACTTATAGATATCAGAATGTAGTGAATCATAAACTGCATTTTTTGCACAAAACGAGTACAAACTAGAGAACATTTCACGAAATGTAGAAGATTATGTTTAATTTGACACCATAAGATGAACCCGTAAGAATATTCATAGTTGAGCCACCAACTTATCCAAACAAGAAGTGATTTTTTTTCGTAATTTGAGTTCACCTCAAGGGTGTGGCAGTAATTTACTGTCTTTTTTTTTTTTTAATTTAGCTCTTTCAGTTCTTGCTTATGAATTTTGTTTATGAAGTTAGTGAACTTTATGTTATTTACTATGCAGCACTTGTTTAAAATGATTCTGTTGATACTCGAAACCTGGAAGGAGCTGAAAAAGAAAGGGACGATGTTAGGTCGTTTATTTATTATAAAATACACGAAAGTAGTTAACGATCAAATCTATAACTGTAAGCAATCTATTTTAATCTCTCAACAGCTTGTCCTAAACGAGTGAACACAAGAAGTTTCTTATCAATTGTCACAAGCCTGGTAACAAACTGAGACCATGTTGATCACTATAATGACAGATTCTGATTACAGTTCAGAACTGGATGCCGATTCTAGTTCCGGGTTCATGAATCCGTGAGGTAGAGAGTTTTCAGCATCAACCAGTGTAATCTCCCAAATATAGGCGGAAAATGGTGCGGAAAAGCTCCAAGTTGAACCAAATTTTGTCAGAGAAAATGTTGGAGTGGTGGGGGCAGAAGGGGGATATGATTGAAGGCTTGAAGCGGAGGCTGAGGGTATGGAGGGAGGTGAGACTGGAGAGGGTGTTCGTCGAAAGGAGGGCGGGCTCAGCTATGTTCAGTGTATTTCAAGAAGAAAAAAAAAATCAAATTAGTCTCTGACTTAAGGAGGAATAGGGCCTTTTAGAAAATGGGAGGGACGGAATTGAAAATATTGGAAACTTCTTTTTGGAGCTTATTTACGAAATTTCTGATTTAAAGGGTATTTCAATCTTTGCAAGTCAAAAAATTAACCCCAAATCACATTTGTGGTGAGCGTCGCACGATCAACTTACAGGGGTTTTGTTGGCTTTGACTGACTTTTATAGGGAGGTCTTTGCTGATTGCTTTAACACATGGACTTTTGAAACAATTAGAGATTACACATGGACGGTTAGTGCTAAAAGCTCCTAGGCAGAGGGTTCAAAAATAAATAAAATTATCATTTTATCTCTATTTTCATGTTCTTAATTATAACAAATGCAGTTGTATCGGGGCTTGAGGAAGAATCGATCCGAACCAATAGCCAAAGAAAAAAAAAATTATTATTGCCATTAAGGGTAAATAGTTCTCGAAACATTAAGGGTAAATAGTTCTCGAAAAAAGCTAAAAAAACAAAAATAGATTGCCATTGTTTGAGAGATGCAAGTGCCAAAATAGCTAAATAATGGGGATGTAGCTTTGGAATTACCATAGTCTAAGGAATATTTAGAATGTGGTTACCAAATAGTCAGTTCAGGGAAGGTAAATGCAAATTATATGTGTTTTCGAATGTGATTGGAACATATGGTGCTATATTTAAAATTCGTTTATATTCTGTTGATTCTAAAATTGCATTATCCACAACCCTTGGATATTCTTTCCGAGCCGCCGATTATGAGTCGATAATTTTCAACTTTGAAACGAGTTCTTTCATTCCAATTTTTGAAATTCCAATTCCTTGTTTTTTCAATTCTTTTTTTTTTTTCTTAACAGATTTGAAATTAGTTTTTCATTTCAAAACTATTTTGAAATTTGTCCGAGATCCGTCCGATTCCACCTATACACACACATCACGGAAGACAGAAATGCCAAAGAGTTTTGAATACAAACACGAAGAAAAAAAACAACCGGAGCTTCATTAATGGTGTTCGCCTTAGGCCTCCTGGTCCCTAGGACCGGCCATGCGTCTACCGAGTGTACTTATGGTAATAAGAAATTTCATACCAAAACATGCGTGTACCGGTGTTTGGTTCTAAAAAAGGAAACCAAACCAAAATTAAAAAACTATATGAGACCCTAACAAAATATGAAGGCGGCGATCCGAAGACTAGTTGCACGTCAGTTTTGTGGAGCCTACAACTGATATACATCATGTAGTCTTACACCATTGATCTATACATAATACCACACTCATTAGATTGTGTACTTAGTGGATAGTTGTTTATGTAGATTTACAGTTTAAAAACTACATAGTGTATTTCACCACGAGTGTATGTGTGCTTAGAGCAACTCCAATGGGGTTATCAAACATGGTATTCAAACCATTAACCACTATTTATACACCAAAAAATAGAAATACGATTTCAAATTAAACTCCAATGGGCTTATCAAATTAGGGTTCTGTTTTGTATGTCAAATACGATTTCAGGATTCATTGGCCGTCGGGCTAAATATATTGATAAAACAAGAATGCCGTTAAAACCTGGTTTTAGAGAAACAAATCTGAAAGAAGGGGATAACCGTTCTACATTCTCATAAAAAAAAAAAAAAAAAATCCCCTTCAAAGTTAACCGTCTTAATTATTAACAGAATAGGGATTCCATGCAAGAAAATATAAAATACAGGGGGTTTTTACGCAATAAAACTAAAACAAAAGGGGTTTGGTGCAGATTTCCCTTAATTGAAGGGGTTTGTTTATACCTCGGTGAATTAAGTTTCTAGGTCAGATTATCGTAGCGCCGTGGAAGAAGAAGAAGAAGAAAAAGTATTACAAAGAATGGCAACACAAACGAAGTTTCCGGAAGAAATAACCTATGAAATCCTGTACAATCTGCGAGTTAAATCCCTTTCAAGATTCAAGTGTGTTTCGAAACGATGGCGTTCCATAATCTCCAGCAAGGAATTCATCAAACGCCACCTCGAGAAATCGAATACGGATCCGGATATTACCCGTCACAGGATCCTCTTACGATTGCACCACAGATGCTTACAGCAAAACACTGTATTGCTACACTCTCTTCGGCCTCTACTGTACGGACCCAACGCTACTTTCGATAATCTTCCGCAGCAAACAAATCTCCTCACTCGCGTATGGGGATCGTGCAACGGGCTAACACTCATGTTCGTTAATAATGCACGTTTAGTTTTGTTGAACCTATCAAGTAGAAAATTAAAGATAGTTCCTCCTTTTCCGGAAGAAGGAGGAGAATATGCGCCGCGGCATGATACGGATCGTTTTATATACGGGTTGGGGTACGATGAGTCGGCCGACGATTACAAGGTTGTCTGTATCTACACTCTCTCTAATTCGAAACCCCACCGTACGCAGATGTACAGTTCCAAGACTGATTCTTGGAAGAAAATTGAAGATTTCGATAAGGGTATTGTCCCTGTGGAGGATTCAGGCAAGTTTGTGAACGGAAAACTGCATTGGCTAGCGAAGGACGAAAATGGTGGCCGTGATCACGAGATTGTTGCTCTTGATTTGGTGGAGGGGAAATATGAAATTATGGCTCGGCCGGAAAACTTTTCGAATAGTGTTCCGTATCAACCGATTTTGGGAGATTTGGGAGGCTATCTTAGTTTGATTGGTCATGTCTTTGTAAGTGATACAGCTGGCAATATGTTGGATACGAGTGTTTGGGTTATGAAAGAGTATGGTGTGAGAGAATCTTGGACTAAGATATGGACACTTTCGGATTTTCATGATCCGAAGAACTGTACTAGAGGTGCATTGCCGTTGTGTTTTAGAGATAATGGTGATATTGCAGTGGCTTTTGGATCGAGTATAGTTGTTTATAATGGAAAAAATAAGTTGCGTGAGATTCGAGGTGCAATAGTTAATGATATAATCGAGTCCCTTGTTTATGTTGAAAGCTTAGTTTCGCCGTTTGGCGACGAAGAACTTGGTCATTAATGATGATGGTATTATCTAGGGTAAGGAGTAGTTTTAATAAGATTATTATGCATTTTTTATAGATGGTGAATGATATACTTTTTCTTTTCACCTTTGTTTTTAAGTGGTATTATACTTGATCTTTTCTTGATGTTTTCGACATGCAATTTTCTGGGTTTTGGATTTTCAGGTTTCGGATTTTGAGTTTTGGGTTTCAGGTAGTGTAATTTAGAAGTATGTTTTTTTTGGTTTTTTTCTTTTTTTTATTATCTAATTAACTTTTATACTATTACCGGAATTTTCAATTTCAAGAGGCAAATGGATTATGAGATGGCCGTATAATGCAAGTTAATACCCACACCGTTTTACTTAAACGGAGCGGGATTACGGGTTCTAAAAGATATATGAAACTACGAATCTTTCTTCATACTTGTTGTCGAATATTTTCATTCTCACCATTATCAGCATTAATCTCTTGATCCTGCATTCATTTCCTAATAGTGATTCTGTTTAGCAATTAGAAATATGATATTAAACTTATGAAAATTAGTAGTGAACTTCTAAAAATTTGAAGTTAAATAGGACGGAATGTGGCAGCTAACTTTCGAAAATATGAGAACGGGACCTTTGAAACTTGGGATGGAATTTTTAAAAGAGATTAAAGTCTGAGCAGATGAGCCGATATTTAATATAAATCGGATTCCACTAATTTTTTTGACATGTGGCACTTTTAAGTCTAACTCTTAATAAATCACGCTATTATAATTAGGGTTAGTCTAAATTTGCACCCTTTTTAAAATTGGTAGCGAACTTTTGGAAATCGATTATTTCAAAAAACAATGGCAATGAATTTCTTAAAAATAGAGAGTAAACTTTTGTAAACCGTTAGTGAACTTATGTGAAGGATCGGAAAATTGACAGCAAAGTTCGACAGTAAACACTATAGCTCAGTGAACACTCGCATTGGTCCCAATAATTTTAGCTAACAAAAGTGCAGGAGTACTTTCGTAAAAGAAAGGGCGGACTTTTATCGGGACCATAATATTAATTATATTTATTACTAATGAAATTACATCCGTTGATTTCCCCCAAAAACGACACTTACATCGGATAAACTTAGGTTTATGATATCCTGCATCAGGTGAAATACATCATGTGGTTTTAAACTGTACATCTACGTAAATAACTACCTAATAAGTATACATACATATAGGTGTGTGTTATTATGTGTAGATCAACAATGTAAGACTATATGATGTGTTTCACTAGGTATAGGTTCTATACAGAACCAATAAACTTCATCTCGTGATTCGGCATTCATTTCCATGTTGTGATTCAAGTCAGCAATTCGCGAGACCAATCAAAAAGAGAAGAAAAATATAGGACTTTTTCTACAACTTGGGAAGTTATATGCTACACTGGGTTATTTACATGCATCAGCTATTTGTTAATTGTAAATGAGGTTAAATAATAATCACTAAGCACGCGTACACAGAGGTGGGTAGGGATGACAGTATAACCCGCCCCACCCCGCCCCGGATTTACCCGGTAATCCCCACCACGTTTGCTAATAGAGCAAGTATTGATTTTAAAAATTTCACCCGTAGTGAATACATGATGGGTATAGGTTTTGAACATATGCACCCTTACCCGCCCCGTATCCATCCCGTTTATATATTTTTTATATTATAAAATACTAATCTTTACAGATATTTTAATTAAATAAATTATTAATTTAAAAAATTATATTTTCTTACGGGTCAGGGGCGGGCCGGGTATGGGGCGTTATATGGTCCGGGGCCCGTTTAATAAAATCAAAAATTAAATGTTTGTTAACGATGCTTATCCTAAATCTAGGTCATCTAGGTTAAATTCAAAGGCGGCGAATAAAGAAGAAAAAATAAGAAAAAAAAAAACACAGAAAATGGGAACACGAATCGAACGACGAATCTCGCGCCATCTTCCGGATGAAATAATCGAAGAAATATTACACAGCTTGCCATCCAAATCCCTTTTGAGATTCAAGTGCGTTTCGAAACGATGGTGTTCCTTCATCTCCAGCAAACAATTCATCAAACGCCACCTCAAGAAATCGAAAATCGATACAGATCGCACAAATCGAAGCCTAGTGTCAAGCTTCCGTCGATCACCGGACATCGTCGGATTCATGTCTTTATTCCGCGGTCCGAACACCACACTCGACCCGCGTTATCTCCAGTCGTTACTCGATGATGACATCATCGCAACTCTCGACAGCAATCATTGTTGCATGGGAGATTCGACGTACGATGTTCGTATCTTGGGATCATGCAACGGGCTAGTACTCATGAACATCGAGAATTATCACTATTTATTTCTATGGAACCCTTGTACTAGAGAGATCAAGAAAATTCGGTGCACGCGTCCCGCTTTCAAAAAAGTATACGGTTTGGGGTACGACGAGTACGCAGACGATTACAAGGTTGTCTGCATTTTCTTCTCCACTCGGAGGACAACCTCTCAGACGGAGGTTTATAGTTTGAAAGCCGATTCTTGGAAGAAAATCGAGCATTTCGACAAGGGTTCTAATTATCCCCCGATGTGCGAATCGGGCAAGCTTGTGAACGGAAGATTGCATTGGCTTATGGGACACGATGATAACGATCTTGTTATAATTTCTCTTGATTTAGTGGAGGAGAAATATGAAATTGTGGCTGGGCCGAAAAATACGGAAAATATTTGTTTTGGATCGGTTCTGAATAATTTGGGAGGATACCTATGTTTAATTACTACTTCTAGTGTTACAGGTCATCAAAGTGTTTGGGTTATGATCGAGTATGGTCAGACGGAATCTTGGACTAAGATTTGGACATGTTCGAATTCTGATGATGCAATGAAGATGTGGCCTTTGCCTAATGACGGAATTTATAACGGAAAAAATGTGTGGTGTAAATATGTGTGGTGTGCACGCTTAGTTTATATGGTTGATGCTACAACTGAGCCCATTTGCTATGTTGAAAGTTTAGTTTCACCATTTGGCGACAAATAGAAGGATAGTTATTGGTTCATCAATTCTTCTTCTGGTGTCACGAACCCATGACCAAATAGGTCTTAGCTGCAAGGAACTTTGCGCGCCTATACGATCTTCGTATGGAAAGGAATTGGTGTCGGTCTAGAATTTTTTTTTTTCCTTTTTTTTTCATGTTTTCAATGGTATCAATTCATAGTCCATAAGAAGATATTTATACTTTTATCTTTTCCACTCATGTTTTAGATATTGGTTGAGTAGTTTGGAAGTATGTGTTATTGAGTGTTCATTAATTCTTTTCTTTATCATTCTTGTTGCCTTAGCTTCAAAGTGTAAAATTATTAAAACACGCAGGACCAAATGTATTTTTTTTGTAAACATGGGGACCAAATATAAAATTAGTGCAAACTCGAGGGATGAAAATTTTAAGTTTCCCATTAACAAATCTACTGAGTGTGTTTGAATAACACTTTTGTTTTCCAGTTTGCAAATTAAAAAAGGAAAAATGAATTCCAGTTCAATATATATTTCTAACACACCATTATGTGATCAATATCATAACCTCAATTAGAGGCACTTTAATTATTTGCATCTTAAACTAATTTAAAAAATACTTAATGTATATAAAGATTAGTGTCTAGCCTAAATCTGCTATATATAAAAGGTGAAACTAAAATTAAACCAAAAACTCAACCACATCAAAATTAATAAGAAACACATATAATAAAGAGAATATACACTTTAATCTTATTTTAAAAACCACAAAAATCAAACCATGCCTCATGTAAACCATAGACATGCATGTAGTCCTCCTCTATAGAGACAATCTTAAAAACTTCAATACCTTATTACATGTTATATATATCGTGAATTATCGTCGGCTAAATAAGGGGAACAATCTTTCTTGCAACGAACTATGATGATAAATCATGAACATAAGAAAAACGAGCAAAAGCGCCACTCCGAAAGGGGACCCACCGACCCTATGTAGCGAATCCTTCTCGGGCAAGCTCATGGCGAAAGGGAAGCTCCTGTCACGGTCAAAAGTAATTAAAAAATGAAAAAAGTCAACTCCCACACGTCATCACACACAAACGGATTGAAAATGGAGGGGTTATTTTGTTACGTTTTATGGTTCAGGAGGGCGTTAGTGACAAACCCTATAGTTCAGGGGTGCAAACTGTACTTTTCGCTATTTTCTATATATCTAGGGGTAAATAATAAGGGTGCAAAATGAATTTTACCCTAGTTTTTTTCTTTTAGTAAGAATTTTACCTAGTTGTTATCTCTTATTTGGGAACGAATTAATTGAGTCACAATCATAAACCAATACCTTATTATAATCGATTTGAATTTCGTGATATTTATATATACGTTTCCTTACATATACGATGATTAACAAAACAAATTTACAAGTAATAAATCCTGTAAAACAACAACCCTAGAAACTCCACAACCAACCATGGCTGCAAATCACTCGGAACAAGTTTCAACATACCTTCCACTACACGTCATAGAAATAATCCTATTAAATTTACCCGCCAAATCTCTTCTTCGATTCAAAGCCGTCTCGAAATCATGGAATACGATGATCTCCGATCCTGTATTCATCCGAAATCATCTCCACCAATCTAAAGCTTCAAACTCGCAGAATCTTTTTCTATGTAAGTTGATATTCAGATATAATAGTAAAAAGTTTTGTTTGGTTAAAATCGACGAAGATCGAATATTACGATGTTTAGAAGCCCTGAAAAGCCCTCGTGGCTTCAACACGCGCGTCTTATGCTATTGTGATGGCGTTCTACTATTCAAAAGTGACGAAGAAACACGAAGTGGCGTGGAATTTGTGTTGTGGAATCCATCTACTCGAACGCAGACAATTTTTCGGCTCCCATTCGAATTAAATACTGATTTGAAGTGTTACGGGCTTTGTCATGATCCGAGAATCGGTGACTTTAAGGCGGTTGTTATATTTTGGAATCACTACGCGGTTTATTCGTGCAAGAACAAAGCC